GGTTGATTGTGCGTTTATCTGTTGGTAATGCCTCGGGGTTCCGGTGGGCATGTAAACAAATGCATAATGCTGCGCTATACTTTGTGGCCTCACCCGGTTGCATAGCGACACTCATTGTTTAGGTGTCTTTTAATAAGCAGGTAGTCATATCATTATCTAGAACTAGCTGGATCTGATCGATATGGACATAAACGAGAGTGAAGTCTAATCTGACGGAAGAGAGAGATCAGCTGCTGCTGACGAGTCGACACGCAGCTCTGCATGATCACATGCAGCGGTGAGCGGACAAAACACACACTTCAGGTTAGAATATCACTCGTAGCTATTTTAATTACCTCTTAAACTACCTAAACTAGTTACAAATATGTTTAGTTTTACTGTCGGGTCACTCATTACTGGATCCGCGAGCTGCATGATACTAGCATAATAGATTGCCCGATCGGGCAACCAGCAGGTGAGGCTTCATTGCCCGAGCTAAATACTAGATGGCCCCGGGCCATCGGGCAGTCCTTAATGTCGAGCCCTGGTTACATGTTGCAGCCTGATGTTTTGTGATGTTACACCCTGATTAGACAGCGTGGGGCTCACCTGATTCCTAGAGAGGTGAGGAGGGCGTAGATCTCCGTGGCTCCGATCCAGGCTCGTGTTCCCTGCAGCCGCTGGTTGAAGTGGGACGCGCCGTGCGGATCCAGCCCTTCTTTCCAAGCCTCCTCGATCATACTCTGCACTCGAGGGATACTAGGCACCGCCTTCTCTGGAGGAGAAGGAGAGTGTCAAGTACAAAGTACTAACTGACATGTACAGGCAGCAAACAACCCTGATGAAAGTGTTTTAAAGGTCCCCTATTATATGGTTTTTCATCAATATATTATGGGTCTCAGATATATACAAACATGTCTCTGAAGTGTTTGGCTCCAAATACCAAACAGATCATTGCAGCATCCCATAATCCCCTCTGTGTCAAAAGTGCTGATTCTCTGTCTGTTACTTTAGATGAAAATAAGGAGCCACTCCCCACGCCCCGCTGAGAGGTATTTGGTTAAAACGATAAGGGGGCTTACCTTGGTTGCTGATTGGCTAATGGTTACACAAGCCAAAAAATCTCATGATTTACACATCACCAAAGCTCACCTTCCCTTGAGTGTAAAATGTGATCAGATATCCAAAATGATAAATGTTTTTGATGCATGGGCGGTTCTAGGAAGGGGGCCGGCAGGGCCCCGTGTCCCTGTATCTCTGAGGTACAGCCCTTAGGCCCCCCTCCAACAGTACAGTCTATAATTATAATACTATTGGTGATAGTGTTGCAGGATGGACTTTGCAATTACTTAATATCAATTAAAAACATTTTAACTAAGTTACTGATACACATTTTGTAACTGAGACAAATGTTTTTTTTTTGCGCTATGACTTTAGACTGAACCGAAAATGTTGAGCACAACTATTTCTGTCTTTTGTCCTGCATTAAATGTGATAAAATAACTGGCTGCAGCATGATGACTGACTGATGTCTGTCTGCTTTCTTCTCCATCGCAACAGTGACCAAAGCTCATATGCAACATAGTATTTATCACATCCACCAAACAGGAAGGAAATAAAGGATATCAAAGAAATACATCTGAAATAACACAACATGAGTCGAGTTACATTATGATGGAGACTCCTGTATTCCTGACAAATGTTAGGGTTATCATTATATAAATGTAGCAGGTTGAAACTCAATACACTGCTCCTTCACAATATATAGCTGAACTGCACTGATCAGCCATTTGTTTGAAACAGGCTATATTAGAGATCTGCTTCTCTTTGAATAAGATATGATGTACAAATCCAACACTGTTTACCTTTTGTCTTAAATTAAGTCAATTTCCACAGAGCTAATTCTGTCCTGTCATACTCACAGGCAAGCGGCCTTTATATGTTCAACTCCACTTTGATCTACAGGGAACATTCACAACATCATGACTTGTAAAACAAAGAAGTTCTGATGTCTGGTCAGATATTGAGCAGAGTGAGTGTGCACCTTGCAGGAGGGGAGCATATGCATCGATGGTGTGCAGAGAGGAGAGGAGCATCTGGATGTTCCTGTAGCCGCAGCCCCAGCCCGTGTCCCCCGCTGAGGAGCAGAAGTGGTCCGTGTCAGCACTCAGCCACACATGGACACAGTCTCTGGCTTCAGTCTGGTAATATTCAGATAACGCTCTGAGCACACCTAGGCAGACCGAGTGGAGTGCACAAGAAGAAAGTTGAAAATACACAAAATGAGTAAAAAAGAAGCCCTGATTCTCACTTGATACAGCTGAAAACAGATAAACCAGTGTTTTTCATGTTTTTTCAATGTTAATTGTTGATAATACTAATCAAAAAGACACAGTTCAATGCAAATACAATGCTGTTTTAGTGTTTTTGCGTGAAAGCAACACATTTGTTTCATGAATTAAGTAAATAAGACACTGTTGTTGCAGAACAGTTTAGTACCTCTTTAGAAAAGGCTTTTCCCTGAACACAATTTTCGCAAATCTTAAGAATAATTTCAGACTCACTGGACTGGAAACCCTACTTCCATTCACAGCCAGGAAAACTATTTAACTGAAGAGCTGACGAGATTAAGGCTTTTCTGTCTGCAAGAAATCTTTAGACAAATTCAAGGAATGACAAGAGAAGCAGTGGTTTATATCCAAATGAAGAGCCTACAGGTCTCCTTCACGTCCATGCAACAACCTCACCGTAACGCAAAATAAGTATTTCCAATAAGGGAGAATGCTACTTACAGAGACATTATCTTGAGTTTACATAAAACCAACAGGCAGAGTCAAACATGCACACACATACTGTCGAGACGAAAGTCAATATTGAAAGAAAGATAATAATATCTGAGAAACACGGACGGATAAATAATTATTTGTAACACTTTATATTAAGGTACACAAATTAACCATCAACTAGTTGTTAACATGCATATTAGAAGTATATTGGCTCTTTATTAGTCATTATAACACACTTATTAATGACTTATTCTACATGACCGTATTCTACAAGTAATAAGCCATTAGTTGAGAGTTTTTCCTCAATAACCCTCTAATTAGTGCTTATTTGTTGCAAGTAAGGAAGTTGTTGTACACGAGTTTTGGTCTTAATATGCTCCGCTCAATATGGGCCTAATAAGGCAGCAGTACCACAAGAATAGGGTTTTCTGGGTTGCTTGGTTTCAAGGGTAGAGAAAGAGACTTTCTTATTAATTCATTTAAGTTAATGATGTTTTGTAGAATAACTCACAATTTATCATTTGAATTATAATACATGGAATTTGAGTGAATTATTATTATTATTAGAAATAATGCAATGAGGCATACAAAACGTTTGTGATTTTGTTTGCATGTGTGCTAAAATGTGTGTGTCCTCTGTGTTAGAAGGTTTTCAATCTGATGAAAAGTGTCTTATAAACAACTGCTGAGCAGAAAATAAAGACAAAAGAAAGAATCTGAGTTGTTCAAGCGTCCTCTGTTGCCCTCCAGCCTCTCAAGTTTGGGCAAAACACTGAATACAGGCCACAACCCGGAAGAACTTAACACGTACCCTGAGTTCTGGTCCTGCCATCATCCAGCCCTGAGGCCAGAGACTCCATCATCTCAGCTCTCTTGCAGTGGAACTCTGCGGGGCCCAGAAGCCCCCTGGCCACAGCCTTCTCCATGCTCCTCTCCATCTGTCGGCTGTAGCCCCCTCCTCCGTCCAGACCAAACTGCTTCTGCACCACAAGCACCAGAACACAAGCGTCAGATATACACACAACACAAGGACATCAAGAGAGGGGAAATATGAAGCTGGCTGTGGAAGCAGAGCTATTGATCATTCAATGACTAGCAGGAGGTGCCTTCATTATGAAAGGTTTACCTCAGCTCCAGTAAGTTCTTACTAAATCGTTAGTTTTTGTGTTAGAAAGTAAATGGTCAACGATGCCATATAGAGTGGGTCAGGAATGAGTCCTAAAACCCGGAAATTAGTTAGTATTTTACAACCTTCGGATCAATCATCGCTAGTTGGCATTTTTAAAAACATATTTTAGCCTGAAATAAGGTCTGTGATTAACACAAACATAAGAGATTTTCACTTTTTGATCTACTGCATAAAATAAAGTCAGTACCTCACTGGTGAATATCCGAAGCTTCTATGTGTCATAAAGACAAATGTGTTAAGTATCATAAACATCTGTTGGCACAGCTTATTTTTTTACATTATACATAAATCCAATGGAAAAATCCAATTGCTTTTGTCAAGGGAGCCCTTGTGATGCTAACGTACAGGTCAGCCTACAGAACTAGCTCATTACTGCACCACTCCTTAGGTTGTTCAAAAGTATTACAATTATAAACTTCACATCAAGTGTGTTTGATAAGGCAGTAAACCACAGCCGTAAAATAAAACGTAAACCTCAGAGTGGAAAGTGAAAGCTTCGACATAACTGTGTTATGGACAGGGGCTGAAACACTTGTGATTGATACTGAGTATCAATGAGATATGCTGCCTGGAGTTTTCATCTCAACTTGGTATATCATTTCTTAGAAATCGTAAATCCTAAACCCTTATCCTAACATACATAGAGAATCAACTCCGATTAAAAAAAGGATTTGTTTTTGTTCTCATTTAATCTGAATCCCACCACACTCACATGGAAGGATTTAGCTGAAATGACTATCACATGCTGTCAAAAGGAAATGTAATGACTGAATCAAAAGCTAGGAGCAATTTGGAATTTAAGATATAGATGAGGTAATGTGCTGTGGGTCGAGTGTTTTGTGCTTCCCGTCTAACAACAACAAATGATTATTTCTCCAGCTCATCGAGGTGCTTAAAGTGTACTTATGGCTTTTAAAAACTAAAATAATTCTAGCATCCAAAGACAGATGGTATTTAGACTCCAAAAGACTTCTCACCAACAGTAACAAAGTATTCTCCCCGTTTGGATCATTTGACCACTGTGTTCTTGTCCTGCTGAAGGAGCACTCCTGTGCACATTGAAGTGCTGCAGTTTCAACTTGTGAACATATATATTAAAACATTCTTAAATTGGAATTAGAGATGTCCGTGGGTGTTTATACAATTCTAAAGATAAACTGACACACAAACACTGAGCAGGGATCATTAGTCCATCTATAGTTTAAAGAAGAAACATCCTGCTCCTTTTCAGGTTCACATTTGAATGTTGTGTCTCTACTATGACATGTCTCCATGCTTTAATGTTCAAAAAGCTCTTTACTTAGACCCAATATAAATGTTGACTATCAAATTGATGCTGGAAGTTTCCAATTTACATTTGAAAGTAAAAAATGTACTAAAAAAAAATACGGCACAAATGCAGCAGTGATTTGCTGAAGCACAGTATCCAGACCTGCAGCTTCTTGAAGCCCTCTCTCTCCTGCCGGGCCTCGTCCTCCCGCTGCAGCTCCCGGGCCAGCCACAGGTCCGAGCCAGGGCTGTGAGCAGCGGCTGAGAGAAGAAGAAGAGGAGTGGGCACCACATCAGACGGGACCGAGGAAGACAATGACTTTTAAAGTGCAATAGAGGGAAGTCTGGGATTGGGGTAGCAGGGAGAGATGAACGTCCACCTGCTGAGCTCACAGCAGCTCCATGCTCTAAATGTAGCTCCACATGTTCCTGCAGTGAGGAGCTGTCCATGCAGACCACAGAGCACAGAGGGCACTCAAATCTCTTCTCTCCTGCCAAAAGAATGGCACACCATGTAAGTCCAGATATCAAAAACTTAATTTATACAACCGAGACATCCATTATCAAATTAAAGAAGCCCAATTTTGCTTTTCTCTTCTCCTCTTTCCCTTTCCTGTAGTGTTTCTCTCCCAAACACTCCCCCCCCCC